GCTCCGCAGCCGGCGCCCCGCGCACACGCGTCGCCGCCCACGCGCGCCCCCCGCAGCAAAGTTCGGCTCAACTTTGACGCTCTATCCCTTCCACCTCCCCGCAGGTCCTCGGTGGCCGCGGCGAACCAGGCGGCGGCGGCCGGAGCGCAGTCCCGGGGCCCCGCACGGCTGCCCCCGGCGACAGCGACAGCGGCGAGGGGCACGCGGCGCGCTCGCCAGCGGGCGCCGACGGGGACCCGGCGAGCGCAGAGCCCGGAGCGCGCCTCCCGGGAGCCGCGGGTGGGCGCCCAGCCCCGGGGCGCCGAGACCTCGGCCGAGTGAACGGAAAACGCTCTTCGATTGACTGGGCCCCGCCGGGCGGGCGCGTGTGCCCGGGGGAGCGCGTGCGGAAGGCAGAAGGGCAGGAAGTCGGTCTTCTGCAACGAGGGTGGCGCGACCGCGCGGGGACCGAGCCTTCCTTATTTATGTGTCTGCCAGCGCTCGCCTGCTTCCTCCGAAGACTTCAGGGAGAGTCTCCGAGCTGCCGTCCCCGCGTGTGAGGCCCGGAAGGGCTGGAAGTCAGAACAACATGCCTATCCACTAAACTCCAAACTTTTTCTTTTTTTAACCCAAAGAATATCGGTGATTTTTGTCCACTGCTAGGAGGAGAGAGCCCAGGGCTCTTGAGATGCAGCAAAATCCTTATTTATAAACAGGCCCAAGGTAGTGATATGCAAATCCCCTGGACCCAGTGAGTTTTCTATCCTATGGATATCAGTTTTGAGGTTTGAGATTGGATTGCACCTCCCCTCTGCACTGGGTCCCGCAGCCTCCATCCTTTCAATGCCCTGTTTTCTCTGGGACTGCTGGCCTTCCCTGGAGATTAGTGTGGTCCTGTGTGCCATGGGCTGTATTCAGAGCATCGGAGGCAAAGCCAGAGTCTTCCGGGAAGGGATCACCGTGATTGACGTGAAAGCCTCTATCGACCCCATCCCCACCAGCATTGATGAGTCCTCCAGTGTGGTGCTCCGCTACCGGACGCCCCACTTCCGGGCCTCGGCCCAGGTGGTCATGCCGCCCATCCCCAAGAAAGAGACCTGGATTGTTGGCTGGATTCAGGCATGCAGCCACATGGAGTTCTACAACCAGTACGGAGAGCAGGGCATGTGAGTACTGTTCAAGACCCAGCTTGGGGGCTGCTGGTGGGGGTCAGCTTGGAGGCCTGGGGACCGGAGGAGTGGGTTAGAGATTCCCAAGGAGGGGGTCCTTCCCTGGCCAGAGGGAAGCTTTAGGCAGCTGTGGAAGTGGCTTCTGCATGGTCTTGGGCCAGGTGACTCCCTGGAGGGTTTACTTGTTGATCCAGACTAGGAATCATGGCTCTAGGACCTACTGGCCATTGCCCCCTGGGTTCCTGTCCTTCCCCCCAAGATGCCAAGAAAATAGAGCCACATTCCTCCCTAGGCCTCTTTTAGCAAACAAGTGTTCCATCTGCCTGAAGAGTGTCAGGGCCGTCAGGGGTCATCAGAGAGGCCACTGCTCTGCCCCTTGTGCTGGACTCTCGAGCCCTCTGGTTGGGCCTGAACTTGTGCTTTCAGATACTCATCAGGCCCTGGGGGTGCTTGGGAAGATTTTGACATTGCAAAGGGCTTTATGTTGAGAGAGTCCTTAGCTTTAGAAACCTGGTTGAAGCTCTCTGCCTCCCAGGCATTAGCAGTGTCAGCATCTGCTGTCCCTCCAGTGGAGAACTAACTAGGAATGGCTAAGGAGCCCACTGGCCTCTTCCCTGCAGCCTGGTCTCTGAAATGTTTGTGTGGTCCTTGTTCTGGCATGTTCCTTGACCCAGAAATAGCCATCCCAGGGTAGAAAGGGCAGCTGGAGATGCTCTTAGGGGAAATGACTTGACTTGGTCACCCTGGAACAGGGCTGTGCAAAAGTTGTTTCTGAGCATGAGGACCTTTGTGGGACCTAGGTGAGCCCCAAGGGGCAGGCTGCCAATTTGATGCCCATGACTGTCCCTGGACACAGCCCCATAGCCCTCTCTCAGCACCCACCCCAGGGAGCGTTACTTCCCAGCTCTGCAGGTGTGGAAGAGGCGAGTTTCCCCCAGTGTTGGAGCCCATCACTGATGGATGGTCGTGCTGGGCTAGGAGGGCTGCAGACGATTGGGCACAGATTGCGTGCCCTGTCCACTTAGCGACTCTAGGTTCTAAGGGAAGCAGGATGATTGTGGTAAACTTAAAAACGGGCTGTAACTGTGATTTCCCGAAGACTGTGGGGTACACAGGGCCCATGGAGACACTTGTGGGCATCCCTCCAGCAACCTGGCCTCTGTTCACTAGTTCTTCCTATCCTAAGAGAGGCTATTAATGTGGTTTAGGTGGGGGGCTGGCTTCCTCTCCAGGAAGGAAAACGTGACTCTTGGTTACTCAGGGAGGACCTTTCCTAAGAAGGCTTCAGCCTGGCTTTGCAAAGCATCCGGGACAGTTGTCGACAAACAAAGGTTTCCCTCGGGGGTTTCTGGCTAAGCCTAATTTCTTGCCTGATTTCTGTTCAGCCAGGCTGAGAGTCAGGGAGCTGGGCGACCTCACCATTACTATGCCAGTCCTTGTTCCTGGTTAGACAACCTCGTGCAACTCGGACTCTGCGGTCAAGCAGACCTGGGCGGGAGGCCAGACTCTGGGATGTGACCCTAAGCGAGTTCCTTAGTCACTCTGAGCCTTGGTTTTGCTTTTCTGCAAACTGGGGCTAAACATAGCCCCTTCCCACGGATTATTTGGAGAACTACTCAAGACGACCTTTGTCAAGCAGTCAGCGCTCAGCCAAGCCGAGTGGACACTCAGTGTAGGCAGCTGTCCTTTGGCATTGTTGTGATTGTGATTCTACTGGATGGGAGTGAGTGACAGTATTTGTAAAGCTGAGGATTTTGGCTGAAACTAGAGTTGGAACAGATGTCAACTACTACCAGGTCTTCCTCTTTTACACAGGGTCTACACCCTAACTTTAAAAATTTAAAAATAGCTCAGGTCAGGGATGGTTTAAGTGGCTAAAGCCATTTTCTGTCTCTCCATTGCCCTTACGGTTTTGTTGCTCTGGGGCGCCTGTCTCCTTGCATTCTCCCTGAGTACCCTGGTGTCGGGTAGGACCAGCCCTGGGGAAGGAGAGGGCATGTGGCTCCCTGGGAGGGGCAGCACTGGGCTGCAGAAGGTCCCCGGGTGGTGGCTCTGGGGCAGCCGTGGAAGTCCTTCCTGTTCTCTGCACATGAGGATAAGGAGAGAGCTCCCCGGAGGCTGCTGTGAGGATTCAAGGGGAGGACGGGGGCAGGCGACAGCGTAGGAGGCTGCCCAACTTTTCATCACTAGTCAACAGAATGGAAGGAGAGCTGGAACTGCCAGGCCCCCAATTCCTGGGCCCTGCTCTGCTCTGTGCTCACCCCGTGCCCTGAGAAGTCGAGGGGCTCTTGGAAGCCTCCTGAAAGTAAATAGAAGCATTTACCTGGGATTTAGAAGAGCCTTCCCATTTTCCCCATCCGAGACTTCCTACGATAACTCCTGTTTTTGAGTCTTAAGCCCCAGGTGCAGCGTGGGAGAGTGGAGCATGGAGTCAGTGAGGTAGACCAGAAGCTGCTACCAGCCCAGCATTGTCCCTGCTCCTTGCCTGAGCCAGAGTGGGGTGCAGCTTCATGCCAGGGGTTGGGAGGCCTGAGCAGAGGGAGAAACCAAGCAGCGTCTCCTGTCACTGCCCACTCCATGCCAGTAGCACCCCTACCCGATGTGACAAGCACAAAGGTCCCCAAACATGGCCCAGTGTCTCCTGGGAGGGGTGCCAAATCACCCTAGTTGAGAACCACTGGATCCAACCCAGACACTTGGAATCACTACTGGGCTTCAGTGGCCTGGGCAGGGGACTGCTGCCAGGTGGCCAAGCCTCCATCAGGGCTTCTGTTCTTCACAAATGGGTTTGTGCTCAAAATATTAATTCCAAATACTTAGCCGAAATCCATCATGCCCCCAACGTTATCCCTGCTGGAAATTAATCCCTTAGCCAGGAGGTGAACTTTTTAGAATGAGATTCTGGGTTAGAAGTGTTTGAAATGGAATAATAAATACCAAAGCTGCCACCTCAGCAGCGCCCCGACTTTGGGAAATGGCGCTTCCCCGTGCCAGCTCGAGAGATTCTATATGGTTTTGGGTCCAACCCACATTGCTTTAAAAGCCAGCCCCCCTCCAGACTGTTGGAGACACCTGCCTCCACAGCCGTCCTCCGCAATTCCTCAACTGCCACCTGTCAGCTGGCGCAGAGCCTTCTAAGTGACAAGTCACAGTTTCTCGCCTGTGTGGGAGACACTCGCCTTGTCCCTAGCTCGCCCTTCTCTGGAGCCCCCAGGGAGCCTGGCCCACATCCAAGGCCAAGGCTAGGAGCCATATGGCTCAGGATTCTGCCATCGGGCAGCCTTGGGGGTGAGGAGAGGAGAGCAGTTCAAACGGAGGGTCCCTTTGGGTAGACAGTGCCCTGTACCCATGTTCGGCAGCAGGTGGGTCTGGCCCCAGGCCCTAGGTCAGTCTCTTAACCTTTTAGAGCCTCAGTTTCCATCTGTGAAATGGGAACGCCTGCTCCTCCCTCCAGGAGGACTTAGGGAGGAGACGGGCCGCAGGTGCTCAGAGCGCCCCGGGTGCAGGAGCCCCTCCTCCACGACGGCTAGCGGTCTGTCACTGTGAATCAGGATGACTAGCAACGGGTTATCATTCTGCACCACCTGGCAGAGAGCGGGCTACAGGCTGCTGCACTGGGTCTGCCGCCCATCCCTTGTCCTGGGCTTCCCACACCCTTCTGTGGCAGGAGAGCCGGGCCCTTGAGGCTCCTGGGTCTTTCTGGCCCACACGTGGGCTGGCACCTGCTGTCACGGGGTTCCAGGGGCTGGTGGGGAAGGGCGGGCAGGGAGGAGGGATGCTGAGTGGGGGAGCTCAGCTGCCATGGGCTCCCCTTCAGAGGGTGCTCCGCAGGACCTCAGGAGGGCCTCGTTTTAGGATGAGGATGCAGCCTCCGCCCGAGACCTGCCAGAGGAGGCTTCAGGACACAGATCTAGGGGCCCTGGAGGAATGTCCCTGCTGACCATGTGGCCTCTTCCTGAAGCCCGGGGCCTGCGCTTCAGGCTCTGCACAGAACAATTGAGGACGAGGCTTCCTCTCTGTGACCGGAAGGCGGCCTCCCCCCATCTGCTGGGTCCTGGCGGAGGCAAGGGCGGGGTGGGTGGGAGAGGGAAGTCCCTGTGTGGAGGCTTTGGGGTGGGAGGAAGTGGTGGGGGATGGCCTGGCCCAGAGAGAACTCCCCCTGGACCAGCCCTGGCCAAGCAGTGGCTCCAGCCCTTGTCCACCTTCCCAGTCTTGGAAACAAAAGCTGGCTGGTCTGGGAGCGTGCAAGACGGACAGGGTCATCAGGGAGATGACAAAATACTGAGGTCCTTTGTTATTGGTCAGATTGGGTGAAAATGAAAAAGCTCAGCGTGCCTTGGTTAGTGGGAGTACCGTCCAGGCGGTTCTGCCGGGAGGGCTGGCTATTCAGATCTCGCGCCCTTCAGCTGGGGTGTCCTGCTGGAGCCTGGCTCACAGACCCCTGTGCCCCAACCGGGCCTGGCTCACGGGGGCATCCAGGAAGTACACGCTAAGGAGTCAGCAGGTGCGTGCATGTAGGGGTGAGGACAGAAAGATGGATGTGCAGGGATGCAAACTCAGCCCTGTTCACAGTAGCGAAAACCCCCAACAACCCCTGTGTCCTTCTGTAGGGAGCATGGTCTGTCTACAGAGGAAGTGTGAGGGGCCGCTGGGTGGACTTGGAGGTGTCCCTACTGGGAGGGAACGTGATGTTATACCCTGCATTTGAAGGGGAGTTGTAAGACAATATGTTATAAAGAAAACACTAGACATGGGACATTCAGAGAAAGGCCTGGGGACGGAGCATGGTGAGTGGCCTCGCTGGGGCAGGAGGGCAGGAAGAGATGGTTTTTGGTTTTCACTTTATTTATACACTTCTTTAGGGATTGCTTTTTTAAAATAAGTACATATTTTTATAACCGAAAGCTAAAATTAAACAAGCACTGTGGGTCTTCTTGTCCCAGTCGGGTCCAGGGCTGTGGCCTGGGTGAGGAGGGGTGGGGTGGGCAGGAAGAGGGTGGCTGCCCCGGAAGGAGTGGGGTTTGTTGTTGGGGAGCCTCAGCAAAGGGCCTGAGGGGGGGAAGCCTCTAGCGCCCTCCGCTGGCTGTGAGCAAGCTCTGGGGGCCTGGGAGGTCAGAGCCCCCGGGCCACAGCAGGTGGGGCACCTGGATCCTAGTCCAGTGTGCAAGGGGGCTGGCTCCTGGCCTCAGTTTCTGTAAAGTTGTGCAACTTTTCCAGAATGAATACTTTGCAAATTTCACCAAATTATAAACTGCACATTTGGGGACCAGGTGAGATAATCCCTAAATTCCAATCAGGCCTGGGTGGATGGTTGGAACCAGGGCTGGGCAGGAGAGCTGTGGGCCCAGCAATGTGTGTGGTGCGCGTTAGAAAGCAGGTCCAGTTCCATATCTCTGCATGTGCAACCTGTCCTTTCAGAGGTGCTTCCTAGGAGAGACTGAATGTAGTTGAACTTTTAAAAAAGTGATTGATTTTGAGGGGAAGAGTTAAATGAATAAGCATGCAGGAGACGCGCAGACGAGACCAAAGTGAAGGGAGGAAACCCAGCGATTGGTGAACTTTCAGGCCTGGCCCAGAGGGCCTTTTTGGTCTTCTGGCTGTGGAGTCAGGACTGGGGACCCTGAACAAAGGGAGGAGGCAGGGCCCTTGGGGGCTTGGAGGGCCCTGAGCCAGCTGGGGAGAGAGCCCAGGCCCTGCTCACCACCCACTTCCTGTTGATGCACACTGTGAGCATGGCCTGCAACCCTCATCGGTACTGTTCTTCAGAAGTCCGGAAAGGGGTGCACCTGGCGGCCTGGTAGAGGTCACAGAGGTGGCAAAGTCACCCTTGTCCTCAAGGCCTTGGAGGGTCTAGGCTGGCTACTGGCTGGTGGCTCCACCTGAGGCCCTGAGCTGAGGTCACCCCACAGGTGACCCTCCACCACTGCCAGTCGAGGCTTCCTCGGGAGCAGCCTCCCCCATCGCCAGCCTCCTGTGGCAGCCTTTCTGCCTCATTCGAACTCGCACTGGGCAGGCGTGCTGCTCGGAGCCTGAGTGTGGGTCAGCCCAGGCTCATGCTGTGAGCTCTAGCTGGACCCTTCCCAGGAGTGTGACCTTGGACTGGGCCTCTAACTTCATTAAGTCTATCCCCAGAGTACATGTGGCCTCTGGCACATCCGTGTGAATGGCACCCGCTGTCACCACATGACTGTGGTGACAGCCCATCCTGCTCGTGGTGATCCCACCTGCGGCTCTTCAGGGGAGCAGAGGCTCTGAGGAACTCGGGGTGCCTGACACTCCTCATGGAGACCCCCTGTGGGGCTCAGGACCCAAGGAGAGACTGTCACTGACAGTTCTCGGTCAGGCCACAAGCGTTTGTCCTCCCTGGCTCTGGGCCAGGCTCTGGGATGCTTCCTGGCTGCGTGGTGACGAGCAGACCTGGTCCCTGCCCTCTCTGCCCTTGTGGTCCATCTGGGGAAGAGATTGCCCACAAATGCTGGCATAATTATTTAATCACCCTCATGCGTGTGCCAGGAAGCAGCAGGATGGGGATCTGACGGCAGTGAGCGCTGACCGAGGCCACCTGGCCCATGGGGAGGGTCGGGGCAGCATCTCTGGGATGGTGGCCCTAGAGCTGAGCAGTGAGTACCTGCTAACTAGGACAGGAGGCGGAGGACACTACTCCTGGTGGAAGCCTTCGGGACGGGAGGGGCAGGGCACTGGCTCGCGAGCCCCGGGAGCGGTGTGCGCACTCGCTCTGGGCTTCAACCACACGGGGTTAGGGCCCCGGGGGTCCTGGCGGGCTTAACAGGGTTGGGCAGTGTAACCAGATTTGTGTTTTTAAAAGCTTGCAGGAGGCTGGGAGACCAGGAGGGGGTCAGGGTCCCTGAAGGCAAAGGAGAAGGGGCCTGTGGAGTAGGGTGGGCCGGGGTCCCTGGGGTGCAGCCCCTCCGTGTGGAACTCACACCTGAAGGGCGCGTGTCATCTGAAAGCATAAATGAGGGTCAGAAGAGGCGTCTGGTCATCAGGGCTGGCAGGTCTCTTGGTCCTGGAGGCACACCTGCCACTGCTGGCGCCTCCCTCCACAGTCTCCAGAAGTTTCCATCGACAGCCACTGACTGCACAGGCACTCCCAGGAGTGCATTGTTAGGCACAGGCTGCAGACGGAAGGGGGTCTGCCCTGTGGTCACAGGGCTGGTGGCTGGGCTGAGTTGCTCCCTGTCCCTGGGGCTACCTCCTGGACCGCACTTCCCGCCCCCAGGCCCTGCGATGAAGACATGGCAGTGTCCTGGGTGTGAGTAATGTGCTGTATGAGACTGCTGCCTGCTGGCTCATGGTGCTGTCACCTGTCTGTGACTGACCCAGGCCTTGGGCTTTAGGGGGCTGGGGCCAGAGAGAGAGTGGCCATTGACTCTTTGGAAGTGACCTAGGGCTGGGACAGAACTAAGTGCCTTTGCCAGTGTGCTGCCTGCACTTTAGACTGAGGTGTGGCTCAGTGGTGGAGCCCTTGCCTGGCATGCAGGAGTCCTGGGTTCCAGCCCAGCCCAGCACATCGAAAAACTAACGAGAAAACCAAAACTAAAACCACTTTTCAGGATGGGTCTGGTCAGACCCAGGGCCTGGGCCCCACTGCTTAGCCAAATTTCCTGGGAAAAAGTGGCCTTGCCTGCCCCACTGCACGGCTTTCAGGACTTGCCCAGGGTCCCATGCCACCAAGGGGGCTGAGACTGACAGCCCAAGGGGTTCCAGACGACCTTCAGGGGCCCCTGCGGAGAGAAGCAAGTCAGGCTGACCACGTGCTGGCCAGGGGCATCTGCCTAGACGTCCTCTCAGCTCCCCAGCCTGTGGTTGCAGCAGGGCATCACTGGTCAGCAGGCGGCACTGAGGGCCGTGCCGGCTCTGAGGCCAGGAGGGAGGGCAGCCTTTTGGGAGGGACCCTGTCAGGTTTCCTCTTGTTCTATTGCTCCAGAAAAGGGGCCCAGCAGTCTCCGCTGCCCCTTGGAGGCAAGCTGGAGAGGAGAAGGGTTGCTGGTGGGGAGGAAGGGGCACTGCAGCCCCAGGACTTCCTCCAGCACCGGCTCTGGCCTGGGTGAGAGGGGAGGAAGGTGGAGCTGAAGGGCTCTGGGGGGCTGATTGGCAGGGAAAGGCTGGAGTCACCCCCTTTCATGGGAAGGACACTGAAGCCCAGAAGAGGACTCAGTTTGCCAGGGTCAGACACTGGCCAAAAGGGGTCAGGCATCATTTCTAGATTGGCTGGCCCGTGGGCTCCTGTCAGCCCCTACAGCTGGAGGACACTTCTGGGGCAGGGCACAGGTGCAGGTGGGAGGGGCTGCCAACCTGCTTTCCCTCCTGACACGCTGTGTCCCCTGGGAGTCTGCAGCCTCCACCCTGACCAAGGTCATGGGGCTGTGCTGCACGCCACTGTCCCTCTGGTATCTGTGGAGACCCCGCCCTATGGTCACTGCATTCAGCCAGTCACTCAGCCAGAGCACGTGTGTGTCATTACTGCCAACTACCAGCAGGCCCTAGTTACGGAGGGGCAACCAGAGCCTCTCTAAATCCCAGCTGGGATCAGGCCTGGTCTACCGCAGAGTGGGACCCAAGACAGAGGGTTGGTCCCTGAGGAGTCTGATTCAGATGGTGCCGGAGCATAGGACGTGGCCCTGCCTGGGGGTCACCCACCTGGCATCGGATATCTGTTTCCTACCGGACCCTCACCTAGGCAGCAAGCCCTAGGGTCAAAGGACACTGATGTGCTGTGTCCATCCTGTTCTCAGGGCCTGGTCCACTACGACGTCAAAGACAAACCTTGCTGAGTGACCGAGTGAGTGACCTGGCCTTCTTTGTCCTAGGTCCAGCTGGGAGCTCCCCGACCTTCAGGAAGGCAAGATTGAGGCCATCAGCGACTCGGACGGGGTGAACTACCCCTGGTACGGCAACACCACGGAGACCTGCACCATCGTGGGCCCCACCAAGAGAGACTCCAAGTTCATCATCAGCATGAATGACAACTTTTACCCCAGCGTCACGTGGGCCGTGCCGGTCAGCGAGAGCAACGTGGCCAAACTGACCAACATCTACCGGGACCAGAGCTTCACCACGTGGCTGGTGGCCACCAACACCTCCACCAACGACATGATCATCCTGCAGACGCTGCACTGGCGCATGCAGCTGAGCATTGAGGTGAACCCCAACCGGCCCCTGGGCCAGCGCGCCAGGCTGCGGGAGCCCATTGCCCAGGACCAGCCCAAAATCCTGAGCAAGAACGAGCCCATCCCGCCCAGCGCCCTGGTCAAGCCCAATGCCAACGACGCTCAGGTCCTAATGTGGCGGCCCAAGTATGGGCAGCCGCTGGTGGTGATTCCACCCAAGCACCGGTAACAGCCAGGGCGCCTGGCTAGGTTAGACTCACAGACGATGATTCTGCTCAGACAAAACCCAACACACTGTTGGTCAGCAAATACAACCACTCTACCTTCTCCAGCGGGCGGATCTCACTGTGCTGATGCCCCCCGCTCGCCTCCCGGCTCTCGCCACCTGCTTCCTGTGGGGAGGGGGGAGACCAGCGGACGGACAGACCCCAGGGGCACCTTCAGGGACACCCTTCAGGGTCCCCTGGGGTCTCCTTTCCTCTCCTTTCCTCTCGACCTGCCGTTCACTTGCAGCCGATCCCTGAAACACTGCTTTTTTTTAACTCCTCTTTTTGGGGTTCAGGGGCAGGAGCAAGAGGCACTGAGTATGGGGGAAGCCCAGGCCTCGGTGTGTGGGGCGGCTCCCCTCCTCCCTGGTCCTCTGCCACGCGGCCTTATGTAGACTTGCTTTGCCAAACTTTTGCCTTAAGCCGAATTTAAAGGAAAAAAAAAAAGGAATCAGAAACAACACGGGGTCTCTCTCCTACTGGACTGTACCTCTCTGCCAGAGGCGGAGGGCGGGCATCAGGTCCAGGGGGAGAGCCACAGAGCCAGCCAGTTGTCTCAGGAGGGGGACAGTGTGGGAACTTAAGCCTGAAACCAGTTGCCTGTCTCGTGCTCAAGCAGACCCACAGGTTCTGCCGAGGCTGTTCTCTCCACCCTGGGCAGACGCCCTCCTGGTGCTTGCCGGGGGCTGTGAGCTGGGGCCTCTGCAGTGGCCTCTCTCTCCTCACAGCCTTAACTCGCCTGGGGTGGCTCCAGAGGAGGGGAGGCCCGGGAGCAGTAAGTGACCCAGGGGATTTTTACCCTCTCCGTCCCCACCCATCCCAGCTCTGCCCTCACCTTCGTCCCCTGCAGCGTGCAGCTTTTCCTGTCCCTCCACACTGGTCCCAGCACCACACAACAGTCCTCATTTGAGTCTCAAAGGTAAGAAAGGCACCGTGTCCCTCCTTTCACTGACCTCAAGTCTTGAATCTGGTGGCACCCGTGCCCTTGGCTGGCTGTCCTCAGCTACTGCAAAGGAGCCAGTGCAAGCCTTCTGGCTCATCTCAGGGGACGCACCCCCGGCTCTCTGGGGAGGCTGCGGACAGGCTCCAAGCCCCAGGGGTGGTGCAGGCAGGCTGTGGGGGGCACCTGAGCCACACCTAGGCACTGTGTCTCTGGGAGGTCTGGGGTCAGCTGAGTGCTTCTCTTGTCCTCTGAGAAAGAAACCTAGACCCAGGGCAGGGAGGGCTCATCAGGCCACTGCAGGGGCTGGGCTGGCAGAACAGTGGCCTGAGGACGGCCACCAGGTGTCCAGTCTTGGGTCTGCTTTCTGGAACCCGAGGACAGGTCTTGACTGTTGTCTGCTGCCCCTGGGCACTCCCAGGGACCCTTGCCCGAGCCACGCTCCCTCGAGCTTGCCAACCTCCCGCTGCATCCCTGGCCCTGCCTTCACACCCACAGTGACCAAACACAGGAGACCGTCAGACTAGGGGAAACCACCTCTGCTGCAGATGAGCCACTGGCAGGAGCCTCAGTGACCAGGTGAGGGTTCGCAGGCATGCAGCGTGGTGTTCAGGGAGCCGCTGTCCAGCGCTGGGCCTCCCCTGGAACTGCAGGTTCCCTTTGTGTGTACAGAGGCCTGGCCACCAGAGAGGCTGTGGCCTGGAGTGGGGAATGGTGGGGTCCTAGCTCTGCCTGCTGGGCCTTGTGGCTGGAGGCCGTTCTCTACACTCAGGTCCTTCTTGCACTAAAAAGGAAACGGGCCAGGGCCGGGTGCCAGGAAGCGGGGTTCTCAGCTGGCCTGGTTGTCACCAAGGGTCCTTCTTGGAGTGGGGCTGTGAGGGAGGTCCTCAGCTGCTCTGGAGCACTGGGGCTCCCAAGCCTGCATTTCTTGAGTGTGAACACGCATTTGAGACAGGGGCCACTCCCTCCCCATGCAGGGCCTGCCCTGCCCACCAGGGCTCCTGGCCATCATCCCAAGCCCCTTCTTCTCCACCCTCCTGCCTGACTGAAGGTGGGGCCGGCAAGACCCCGAGAGAGGGTACAGGTCCAGCTGAGGATGCTCAGCGTGACGTGCACCCAGTCCCAGGCTTCCTGCCGGGCCTCGAGTCCTTCGACGTCCCCCCACTCCTGGACACACACTCCTTCCAGCAATAAGAGCCGTCTCTGGTCGTGGAGCGTACTGTGAAAGTGATCCTGGGTCCTGACTAGGAGGCACAGGACTCGAGGACAATGTAAAATGAGCCTTTTTTAAAAATTTAAAATAAAAAACCCCACAAATATAAAGAGAAATAAAGTTAATTTTAAAGTAGGCCTGGCTAGGATCTGGGTGTTTCTGGGGTGGTGATTCATTTCGGGGATGATGGCTTGGTGTGGTGGCCACGGGGCCACTGGTAGGGGAGGACGGTGTGAGGCTGGGGTTCTGGTGCTGAGGACCTGCAGGTGGGGAGGCCAGCCAGTCCTTCAGCACACCTGCTCCTGTCCACAGCTGGGGGATCTCGGCACCCAGAAGTGCCCCTGGCCAGCACCTCGGTGGAGGAGGGTGGCAAGTGGCAGTCAAGCCGGGACTTGAGAGCAGCTTGGCTTTGGGACAAACAGCAGAACCTGTCGTCTGGGGTGATCAGAGTTCAGGCTGGGTTCTCCTCAGGCCACCCTGTAGGCCTCCAAACCTGGGGGGGTGGGGGGTGGGTGTGTAGGTGGGCTGTACCCAGGGGAAGTCCTCCCTTCCGGCTGAAGCCTGCTTCTCTGAGGAGGCTGTTGGCTGGGTCTGGGCTTACTCCAGATGGACCAAGGGGTCAAGGCCACCTGTGGGCAGCTTTGTTGAGACCCTCAGACCTCATACAGAAGGGATCCTCAGAGTGGCTGCCTCCTGGCTGACATGGCATACATGACGCGTCCTACAGTGTCCTCACATAGTCCCACTGGGAGGTGTTACCCACATTTCACAGATGAGGAGACGCAGAGCAGAATCAAGGAGCCACCTCAGGCATGTGCCTGTGAAGAGGCAGAGCCGGGATTCGAACCCTGGCCCAGAGCCAGCCTCTCCCTCCTGCCTGCTGGGCCTGAGCGGTGACTCACACCAGTTACTACTATTAAGAAGGCCCCAAACTGTAGTTCCCTCCATCCTGGGTCCTTGGGACAGGAAATGCCTTTCTCCCCACCCACTTCTTCCCGGAAGTCTCTGTGCGGCCTGTTCTCTGTGGCCCTTCCAGCTGGGCCATCTAGCTAGGCCGCGGTGGTGGGTGGCCTTCCCACAGAGCTGAGGGGACAGGGTGCCCGAGCAGCCACAGTGGGCACTGGGATCTGGTTTCTTCTCTGGGTTCCGCACAGCGCTCTGCATCCTGCCTCTGCGTCTGAGAAACCAACTCAGGAAATTGCGTAACAGGCCTCATGGCCGCCCTCCACTGGACGGCTTCTGGGTGGGGCCGTCACTGTCGTGGTTTGGCTTTTGGTTGTGGAGCTGGCCTCAGAGTGCTGCCCACAGAGGCTGTGTGTGTGTGTGTGTGTGTGTGTGTGTGTGTGTGAGACCAGGAGAGAGAGGGAGAGACGGGGGCAGGGGGATGGGGACCAGGGGACCAAGGGCAGAGAAAGTGGGCCTGAGTCATGCCAGGACGGAGCAGGCACCCAGGAACACGGATCTTCGCGTGGGCACGCGGCCTGGCTCCCACCTTCAGGGAGCAGACCGTGCTAGGAGGCTGGTGGGGAGAAGAGTGGATTCCGAGTGGCATTTGAGGTGCAGCGCCAGGTTCCAGCCACTCAAGCCGATAGCCGGTTAAATTTAGAAGCTCAGGCTGGGCGGCTGAGAGGCACAGACTCCAGGCCTGGCCCAGCTGTCACAGGTCCCCACCCCCAGGTCCTTGCCTGGGAAGCAGCTGTCTGGGCTGGGCAAGGCCACCTGCCAGAGATGACTATGGGGACCCATGCTCTGTGGCCCCACGCACCTGGAGAGCCACTCCTCAAAGGGGACGAAGATTCATCGTAGGCTAGGTCACGGGGCACAGAGGAGCCCCACGGGGTCCCAGAGGAGACTGTTCCCAGAGGCTGGGGTGGCTCTCGGACCCCTCCAACAGCCCGGCATGTTCCACAGCCTCTGCCTTTGTTTCTCTCTTGGTCATCCCCGTGCCACCCGGGCACCTCCCCAGGAGCTGCTTCCCAGCTGGCTGGAGACTGGACGTCCGATTAAAGCCAAGTATTTCAGCTAGCAACCAGCCACTGGGCACACACTATCCCAAAGTTGTCCATCCCAAGGTCACACCACGAAGACCCACACTTCCCTGGCAGGTACTTGGCTGCTGCCAATGCCCTACCCTGCCACCATCTGCCATCTCCCCTTTTCTCCAGAAAGGACCTAGGGACCTACTAAAGGTCACTCAGCTTGAAGTTGCAGAGCTGGGCAGCTCGAATACCTGGACTTCTACTCTCTCTCTGCACTTCTGCACCACAGGTCTTTGGTAGCCCAGTTCTGCAGACTGGGACAATCCCCTTGCTCAGAGTGCAGCAGACCCCACCCCCCGCTCCCAGTGGGGCTGCCAAGTACCGGGCCTCAGCAGCCCTGCTGGCAATGGGACTTTTTTTTTTATATACTGGGGATTGAACCCAGGGGTGCTCCACCACTAAGCTATACCCCTATCCCTTTTTATTTTGAGAAAAGGTATCACCAAGCTTCCCAGGCTGGCCTCAAACTTGTGATCCTCCTGCCTCAGCCTCCCAAGAGTAGCTGAGATGACAGGTATGCTCCTCTGTGCCCAGCAGAAATAGAAAGTTTCAAATGCAAGAAAAGGCATCTGAGCAAATGGATTCTGTCTTTGTGCCCATGTCCAGAAAGGCAAATCTAAAGGGTGACCTCGCACTTGGCAAAGGCCAGTCTGGTTCTGCCCACTTGTCTCCCCAGACAGCATGGCTGGGAATGCAGAGATGGGGCTATCTCCCCCACTGGCCCAGGCCCTGGGTCATATTTTATTTGTAATCAGACAGATGAGAAGTGGTGCACTGGGTGTTTACAGTGAGCAGGATGCAGGGAGAAGCCGTGCGCTATTCTTGGCTGGCAAGTCAGCCTGACCTTGCATGCCTGAGCTTCCTAGACCTTGG